CACATCAAACTGTCACAGGTTGAAAGCTGTAATTCTTATTCCCTCCGTTTCTGCCCACAAGAGCAATTCTTTTCTTTGCCAGAGCTCTTTTCTGTACCTTCCTGCTCCCCCCAGACTCTCTCCAGAGCCTGCCCCGGGAAGGACTAGCCTGATCCAGGCATGGCTTTGGCAATGGTCAGTTCCTCAAGCTGGGCTCGCTGAGCGGTGATGCAACTTGGAACCTTCCAACAGCAAACTGCATCAGAAGCTTTTCTGCATCAGAAACTTCCAACAGCAAACTGCATCAGAAATTTTTTCAACAGAAACTGCATTTCTTCATTTTCTAAAGCTCCTTGCCAGAAGGCAGGGAAGATTCGGGGTGGGATTGGAGCAACAGGAACCTTCTCCTCCTGGGCTAGCACCGGTTGAAAGAGAAATAGATGTATGAATTCCTTTGATTTTTCGCATAAATTTTCATTATGGAGAGATAAAAGTGGAGAGCGTAGGAAGTCCTCCAGGCTTGGCCCTGGCCATCCTTTGGAGATGGTTGTGCACATCTTGGATCCTCTTTCAGCAGACTGTGAATCATTTGACTGTCTGTATTGGACACAGCGCTGTGCTAAGTAAAAGATAAGCCCTTCTGAGTCCGTCTCTCAACACCATCATTTCCAACAGTTGACTCGAGAGCTGTCAGGCAGGATTGAGAACTACACAGTGTATCTTCTCAATTACATGGGTGCAAATCCAGAGGATTTCACTGGATTAGTACCAAAAATAACAATCCTTTCAGTGAGCCACAAACCTGGCTGCAGCAGGAGCACTGATGGGAGGTGGGGACCCTTGGGCGTGTGGTGCCATCGCTGCCAGGAAAAACAGCTCAGGAAGGAGCTCACCAAAATGGTTTCTGGTGTACATATTAAAAACAGGTAGCGTGCAGAGCCTGCCTCCGTGACATTGATACAAGATTCCTTGGCATTTGACTGTGTCCTGCAGGAGTTCTTGGTTAATTATATTTCGTAGATGTCACTCCTGTGTGAAATACAGATTTGGATGCTTAATTAATAGGAGGAACTACCCATTTTAGGGGAAGGAGCGAGTGACTGTCCCAGCTCCTGGGAGCATGGACTGTTTTCCTAAGCAAATTGTACAGTGAGCTGGTTTTTCATGAAATATTTATCTGCTAGGCCACTTGGCTGCTTGAGTGGCCCTCAAAAAGGTTATTAACACACAGAGCAAATGGAGGCACAGAGACTGTTTATTAAATTCAGATTGCCTTTGGTCATTATGCTAATGCCAATTGAATGGCAGAAAAAATTACCCTGACCCCCTCCCACACCTCAGCTGCCAGGGTTAGCAACAGTGCCTGCATATGATCGGGTGCGAGGAGGGGGGGAAGCTGCTGGCAAAATCCTGGTTCCCTCCCCATGCTTTTGCCATGGCTCTGCCGTTTCTGATGGTGCAGGGACAGATGCCTGTGAAGTATCTTGCTCATGGTCTTGGGCATGGTGCTGGACCACATCGCACGTCCTCTGTATTGCTCTGGCAGCATGGAAGAGGTTTGTGGGGCAAAAATAGTCTCTGGGAATAGAAAAGGCCTCCCCAGGCAGTGCAGAGCTGGCGGAAGGGCTGTATCCTCACTCTGGTCCAGGTCTGTGATGTAGGTTGCAAGAGTGTTAGCTGTATGGCCGTGACACTCCAGCTCTTTTGCTTCCTAGACCCTCTAGCAAAGCAAAACATAAGGTGGAACAGCCTTGAAGTGGCACTGGCTTGCGGCAGCATCCGAAACAGCAGGTACATAAAGGTCAGCTAGAGGAACACACCTCTTCCTTCAAGCTCCTGCCCCAATTGCAGAAATTTTGGTTCCTTTTTCTTTGTCTAAGTTAAAATAAATCAAAACCATTTATTTTTTCTTGGGAGAAAGATGAATGAACCAAATGCTTCGCAGTGCCTTTAGGAGTGCTTGTGTCAGTGTGTGTCTGTCATGGCCACCACTAACCAGGAGACTTCTTCTCTAGGCTGACGACAGACCTGAGCCAGTCGCTGATGCTCAGCATGCTCCTGGGTCACTGCAATGCACACTTTGGCTCTTGTTCAGTTTTAACACTGCTTTTTCTTCTTCCTTCAGGCTATGAAAGTCCTCTCCAAAAAGAAGCTCTTGAAGCAGTATGGATTTCCACGTGGGTATCTCGCATTTAGATGTCTGCCTCTTGTCCTCAGCCAGGCAGATCTCTCTGTAGAAACACTGTCCGCAAGGACTGCAGAACTTGGCCTCATTTGAAAGCTACCCAAGTAGTTGGGGGCTGGTTAAAATGTAGTGGGTAGTGAAAGGGCAGGCACAGCCATAGGGAAGTTCAACACACTTGGTAAATAGATTCCTGGCTTTGATTTTCTGAGTCTCTTTGAAGTGCTGACTCTTCTATGTTCACCATCTGTGAAGCCTAATTAAGTGCTGGAAGTTAGGCAGGGTAGACTCTTCTTCCCAAGGGCTTATTTACCCCTTCAGATACCACCTGGCTCCGGTGGCTGGGCCATGGGACCTGGCAAACAGACCAGGCTGGGAAGCTGGCAGGAACTGGTCTGAAAGGGGCTTGGAGATCTTTGTTCCAGGTGGAGACTGTAATGCTTTGTGATGATAAGAAGGTGATGAGATCTTCCAGAATAGCTGGAGGTATCTGCAGAGGGGCCAGTGGCTGTTCACTCCTTCATGCTGATCACTGCTGAAAACTGAGTTGTTCTTCACCATGTTTTGATGATTGCAGGTCGGCCTCCTCCCAGAGGGTCAAAAGCATCCTCCGGAGAGCAGCCAAAACCCATGGCACCACTGGACAGAGTCTATCAGGAAATAGCCATCTTAAAGAAACTGGACCATGTCAACATTGTTAAGCTGATAGAGGTGAGCTGCTTCTCCGCCTTAAGCTACACTGAAACAGATCTGGTTTCTATTGCAACAAGAGGATCTTTCTTCAACTGCTCCTACTTCAGCCAAAATGGATTTTAAATAGTTGTTCAGAAATTTAGGCTGCTGATTCCAAGCAAGATCGTACCAATTACGTATGACAAACTGACACAGTTATCTTGGGCTTTGGGCTGGTGCCCAAGAGAAGGCAGCTGACTGTGCTGGGAGAAATAGCAGCCAGCTTTGACTAGCGAAATTTATCTGTAGGCAAGCCTGGGAAGTTGCACAAGTGCAAGGCTTCGGTGCCATTTTCAATATTGGCTGAGGTCAGATTAGGACAAGCAGTGCCTTTATCGGTAGGCTGTTTCTGCAAATAGAGGCAGAGGCCCAGATTTTTCTGGAGACAGGAAAATCTGTATCCTTCAAAGCCTCTCTCTCTGCAGGAATCGAAATATTAGCCTAACTTGTTCTCAGCACTCTGCAGCTCAGTACAGTGTACAGGGAGCAACAGAACTTTATTTCATTAAAAATCTCTTCTTTTTCCTGTGTTTTTTCTCAGGTCCTTGATGATCCTGCAGAAGACAACTTGTACATGGGTATGCGAATCATTATATGCTAACAGAACTGTCTGGATTTAGACCTGGTGATGCGAGTAACACGTACCAGGGCTCAGGGTCGATACCAGGAGGACATTTGTACCAACTTCAGCAGTCTTAATTTTCCTGGAAGGTTAAATGCCTGTAAAGGCAGCTGAGATGGAAGGAGGCCTTGCAGTAGGGTAAGGCAGCTGCACACATCTCCTTACCGTAGGGACACTAAAAAAAATGACAGTAGCTCTGCTCTCCCCTATGTATATGTCAATTCCTAAATCCAGGAGAGAAGGGAAGGGTGCAGGATGGTTTTATCCTGCTGGTATGAGGATGGTCTCTCCAGACTTCTCCTGATAGCAGTAGTGACTCCAGAAAACAGTCTTGTCTCAGGGTATTCCCTGTGGCCCCTGCAGAGACACTGACCACCCTGCTGAGCCCCGGCACCTCCTAAGACAGCAGCACTCCTGCCTTCGGCCTCCGAGCCCAGGCCCTGCCGCGAGGTGCCCAAATGAGAGGCCATAGCTGACTGTGCGTTTATGCAGAGGGTGAGGAGTTTCCACCCATTTTGTCTTCCTCTCACCCAAACCGTGGAAGTGCCAGCCGCAGCCTGACCCCTACTTGGATAAAACTAGAGGGACAGGCCTGGGAGACACCGCAGTGCCCTCTGAGATGGGCCAGAGGAGGGGGATGTCTGACTCTGTTACATCTCTGCTTTCCCGTAATGCTTCCTGATGAGACAGGCTCAAAGGCTGCTTCTCGTGAAATAATGCCTGTGAAAGGGGGCTCTGCCCAGCGAATGAAGCTCTTTGCCTTCAAAAGGCCACTTTTCCCTTTTGGCTGAAGCCCCAGCGGCACTCTGGCAGCATCACAAAGTGGCAGCCAAGGCCAATGCGCATGTGGTGGGGAAGGCGGCTGAGACTGTTGTTTAAAGCTCCTGGGGATGGAGAGAAGGAGAGAGATGAGGTAGCAAGCTTTTCTGTTGATTGAAAATAAATGCATGAGGAAGTCGAAAAAGCTGCACAAACGAAAAGAAACAAACAAACAAACAAACAAAAAACCCCACACCAACAAAACCAAGCTCTCCCTGTGGAGCAAGGATAACAGTCCCAGAAATGGCAGCAATAGCAGCAGGAGAAGTGGGAAATGTCTTGTCCCCATTGGAGGTCCTGGGGAGGTTGCACTGGTCCCTGGGCAGTGAGCAGCGGCTGTGTCCGTGTTGTCCGTGCCCCATCACCTCTTTGCTCCCCTTTGCTCTGTCTGGGATCCCAAAAGAGTGGTGCAGGCAAATCAAGCTCCTGCCCTTGCAGTTTCCTGGGCAGCGAAGGGAAGTGGTGGGTGCTCAGCGCTGCTCAGGATTAAGCCTTCTGCAAGTGGGTTTCCTCCCTCCTGCTGCTGACCCAGCCGATAACTGTACCTTTCTCCTTCCAAAAATGCCCCCCACTACAAAGCAAAACTAGAGAAAGTGAAGTTCGCTCTTTGCTAGTTACTGCTGGCATTAAGTAGTGCTGTGAGCGCTCTT